AGTAAATGTATTAAGTACATGCATAAATAACATAGCATTGGCATCTGGCGTTGATGTTTGTTCTGCATTTGTATGAATATCAATAGTAAGTGATAGAATTTGTTTTTTCAAGGTACAAATAAAGCAAGTTTCATCTACACAATAACAAATATTTTTCAAAAACATTGAAAAAAAGTATTGTTATTTTTATCTATTTTGACAGGACTATTGTTTACATTTGTGATCTTCTATAATTAGAACTATATTCAGTACATTGTATTTTATCATCAAAGTTCGATACTTTGTGACAAATATAGAGTAGTATCATCTGTTTTAATCTAAATTTTCCTTTTTCTACAATTTCAATTTATAACTTTAAGTTGAATAAATTTCGAGGTCTTTTTTCTACAAACATTGCCTCTATTCGAAATTTTTTCTATGAAGCGAGAGCTTCCTACTTGTCCTTGATGACAATCAATAACAATAAAATACAAGATTATTAAAATATGTTATTATCTTGCTAGTAAAATTTTTACTGATTGATATCAATTCATTTTACTTTCAGCTTTTATCTTTTACTAATCATCGGAATAATCGAACTTATATGATTTACCAGAAAATAAATGCATAGCCCTCGCCACTTGAATATTATATAAAGTAAGTCCTGATAAATTAGGATAATTTGTAGCTAGAAGAATACGTTCCATAGATGATGATTCAAGATCAAGCCATTCGATTTTATCATGAATTTCAGGTAAAATTTGTGTGCGAAATCGATCAAGTATTCCATCAACTAATGGATAAATTAAATGACTTGATAAAGATTTAAACACAATCAAATGAATTGGTGTACATCTTAATAAAGTCAAACGATTAGTAAACATAGAATTATGTAAAATTTTATTTAGTCGTTTATTAACACCTAATAATGAGTAAAGTAGAGTGGCATTATCAAATTTTTTAAAAATAATCATAAGAATTTCATCAGATAAATTGTTCAACTGAACATGACGCTCTATGCTCATTTATACTTATTTCTCTTATGTTTATCTTAGAAATATTGATATTTATATTTATATATACTCACATGTTCTATTCGACCGATATCGTCAACAAAAACAATGATGCATTTTTCTTTAGTCTAACTCCACGAAAATTGATTCTACGAATGACAAAATAATTTGCTCTCTTTCTCAGTTTTTATTCAACATATAGCTCAATAAGATGTCTTTCAAAATTCATCGAACGAAAAATAGTCGAGAAAGTTACAATAAAATAATTAAAACTTTTTAATCAAGAGCATCCAATTATATGAAATAAACGAACATCAGCTCATGACGTTTTCGTAGTTCTTTGAATTTTTCTGATGGTACCATGAAAAATAAAATGAGTACCGACTATTTTTCAGGAGGGTGTGCGTGTGGGTATGGGTGTACTTGTGATTGAGTTCAAGACACACGCCCACACCCACATCACAAGCACACCTACACACCCACGCCCACACCCACACACCCCACGGAAAAATTTTTCAAGAAAAAACCGCGGTTTCATAAACCCCGAAAGTCAGACCTTTTATGCGGTTTTTGAAACCGGCGAAAACCGCGGTTTGCAAATACCGCGGTGAGAACCGAGAAAATCGCGGTCCGAGCTGAGTTTTTGCAGGTCTAACCGCGGTTTTCTCGGTTCTCATCGCGGTATTTGCAAACAGCGGTTTTCGCCGGTTTCCAAAAACCGCATAAAAGGTCTGACTTTCGCGGTTTTTCAAAATGTGGAACAAAACCGCGGTTAACCTTAGATTACCGCGGTTTTTTTCGGAAGAATTTTTCCATGGGACCCACACCCCATCCAACGAATATGTTACAGTGATATCGCACGTATACATATTCACTTTTGTTTTCTTTCTATTTCTTTTATTCTTTCTCATCTATATATCTTGTCTTTGTTCTCTGTCTCTTTTCTCTCCTTGATCTAGACATAGGTATGTACACATTTCTTTCATTTTTGAATATAATAAAAGAGATTGTGTGCAAGTAGAAACAGACACACATATATACAGTATTCAAATCCATCATACTATCGTGCACCAGCTGCTTCGACTTGTTTTAGAAGTTGTTCATTACATTGAATCGATGGATGATCCGGCGGATAAATCTTCTTTTTTTGTTCTAATGCTTTCTTTAAATAGAGCAGTGCATTTTCATTATTATTCCCTTTATAATAATAATAACGTCCTAAACTAAAGTAACTTCGTGCGATCGCCGGATGTTCAGCTGGCAGATGAGCCTGTCGACACTTCAATGCTTTCGAGTAATAAAATTTTGCTTGCGCATACTTTCGTTGTCCTAAATATGCATCAGCCAAACCATTGTGACAACTGGCAATATTTTCTTGTTGGTCAGTTATTTGTCTGTAGTGTTTTATTGCTTGTCGATAAACATGAATAGCTTCATCGTACTGTTTGTTTAGAACTAGTGCATCAGCACGACGTCTAAGAGTATTAGCAATACCAAATTTATTGTCCAGTGAGATAAATAGCTCTTCTGAACCCTTCAATAATCGCATTCCCTCATCCAATGCATGCTCTACTGAACGGTATGATGATATGTTTGCATTGGCCAAAATAAAATACAGATTTGCTCGTTCATCATCTGTAGTGGGAAAAATCTTTTCTAAGAATTTGATTGCTGTCTCATACTGACCCATTTCTATGAGAAGTTGAGCCAGCGTGAAATTGATCGAGATTGAAGTTGATGAAGAACAGTTTGATATTGCTAACCGATGATCCCGTATATAGTTATTGGTGATTTCCTGTTCACAATTCGTTGCATGCATTCGTATGATCCATCGGCCACAGCTGCCCTGAAACTGCTCATCAATCTCAAAGGTTGCATTTAATCCGAACAGAACTTCTTTCTCAGCTAAAATTGCACTAAACTTTGATATATCAGCGAGAACCATTGACGGCACTTGATCTAAATCAACTGTAATTTCAAATAAGACGGCTAAATTCTCGGGTGAGCTTTGCGCGAAAGTTTCGGCCACATCTCGATCCGGTGTAGTTGAGAGAAAACCACGCATAGCAATGTATTTGTTTCCACTTGTACAAAGTCGTTCTCCTTCTTCCTGTGAGAGCTGTCGACCATGATAGAGTGTGAGCACAGTCTTTCCCAATCTCTGTTGTTTTCTTCGGAATCGTTCCGATTGTTTAGTTAAGCTCCTACATAGATCAGCCACATAGTAACGAAAGCGGTACAACTCTTCGATATCACCAGTTCTAATTGCATGATTGATTAGGTTGTGTAAGAAATTGTTTTTTGTATATTCTCTAATGGCATCTTTTCGTCGATATTGATTTTCTAAGTAGTCAATATATATTTGATCTGGTTCATAATCATCGCCTCGATATTCTCGACAGCGCTCAATAAAATCACATTTAGACTGTTTATTTTTTTTTTTATTATGCGAGAAACTGTGACCTAGTGGTCCTATCAGTACATGTGTTTATAGAAAATAAAACAATAGTGAAATCAAAAAATAGGATGACGATAACAAACAGAGGAAGAGAAGAAAAACACACAAGAATCACAAAGAAAAGATAAAGAGTAAAGAAAAACAATGTTAAGTGATTGGTCACCTTCTCTTCCGATACCGTACACCATTATCCCAATGACACCGGCGTGCCGGGGGAAGGAATCGAACCTTCTGATCTCTGAACTCAGATGCATAGAGCCACTACGCCATCCCCGGCTATTTAGACTGTTTATTGTGAACGGCTTGCTCCATCAAAATTATCTTTTGTAGCAACTGAAACCATATGAATGTAGTATTTCTCGTCGTTAGGTCCCAGATTGATGTTTGTGTAACAGTGTTATAATAACTGAAAACACTGTGGTGATGTAAAGTTGTTTCGAGCACAACTTTCAATTCATTCCGGTCATTAGAGAATGATTTCAGTCTCACATTACAAAAGTCAGTTTTCAGAGACTCATACAGTGACTTTTCGCCACCATGAATATGTACAGATTTGATGTGCTGCAAATGGTTAAGTCTGGAGAGAATATCTCGAGCTACATGACCCGATAAGATGAGGATGACAGAAGTACATTTATTGTTTTCCATATAATTTAAGAATTCATTTTCTAAAATGTAGGACCGCACGTTATTTGTTATCTTCGAGAGCATTCTTTTTGTTTGTTCATAGTTGAAATCTGAGTTCATGTTTGGGTCATACCAGATGAGCATTACGGTTGAGTCTGAAGTATTCGAATCCACCATACTTTCTTGCCCCAAAAATATTGGCTGGCGTCTTTGAGTGGAGTTTTTATTTTCCATTTGTCGTTGATCGCTGAGGAGAGTGTATATTGCAACTTATTTTTTTCTCGTTTTGCTTTCTACAGCTCGTGTTCTCTTATCTTCATTGCAAAAATATTTGTCTTTTCTTCACCCAATCCTGTTGATCGGCTTTGAAGAGAAAAATACACATTAAAATAATTACCTTGTTTCTACGCACATACAAAAAATGCCTTCAACAAGGCAACTTGGAAATTTCCAACTTTAATCACGCACAAATGACGTATGAATGATGAAGTCAATCATTGATATCTGAACGCATGCGAATTATGGCTTTGCTTGTCGAAATCGTGTGCTTTTTCGTTTGAAAATACTATGCAAAAGTATCAATAGTTTTAGTCCATTAAAAGCAAAAGTTACGAATCTTTACTTGAAAAAAAAAGAGATATCGGAAGAAACAACTTAACAATGATCAATTTTTCTAAACATCCATAAGATGGCTCCACTATATTATATATGTGTGTGTGTTTCTACTTGCACACAATCTC